AATAATTGTAATAACAAGATTAATAAAAATATTAATATTTAAGATAATAATTATAGTAATAATAATAGTAACAGTAATGTGATAATAGTAGTAATAATAATATTAATAATAATTGTAATAATAATAATAATAATAATAGTAATAATAATAGTAATTATAATTGTAATAATAATTCTAATAATAATAGTTATAATAATAGTAATAATATTAGTAATTATAGAGGGAGTAATAATATTAATAACAATAGTAATAAAAAAAGGAATAATAATAGTAATAAAAATAGCAATAATATTTATAATAATAATAGTAATAATAATATTAATAATAATAGCAATAATAATTGTAAGAATAATAGTAATAGTAATTATTGTAATAATAATAGTTATAATAATTCAATTAATAATAGTAATAATTATAGTAATATTTCTAGTTACAATAACTGTAATAATAATAGTAATAATAATAATAAGAATTGTCATCATAATTGTAATAATTATAGTAATAATTATTGTAATATAATATTAATAATAATAGTAATAATAATAGCTATAATAATAGTAATATAAATACGAATAATCATCATAATAATAACAAAAATAATAATAGTAGTAATAAATATAATAATAATAATAATAATATTTGTAATAATAATATTAATAATAATTGTAATAGTAATAATAATAGTGTAGTAATAATAATAATAAAAATATTTATAATATTGATATTAATAAGATTATTATCAATGATAGTATTAATAATTGGAATAATAATAGTAATAATAATTGTAATGATAATAGTAATAAAATAGTAATATTGCAAGTAATAATAATTGTAATAATAATACTAATTATAATAGTAATATTACAGGTAATAATAATTGTAATAATAATACTAATTATAATAATAATATTACATGTAATAATAATTGTAATAATAATAGTAATAATAATAATAAGAATCGTCAGAATAATTGTAGTATTAATAATAATAATAATAGTGATAATAATTGTAATAATAGTTGTAATAATAATAGTAATAATAATAATCATAATAATTGTAATAATAATGGTAATAGCATTTGTTCTAATAATAGTAACAGTACCAGTTCTAATAATAGTGATAATAATAATAATTCTAATAATTGTAATAATAATAGTAATAATAATATTAATAATAAGTGTAATTATAAAAGAAATAATAATTGAAATAATAGTATTAATATTAATAGTAATAATAATAGCAATAATAATTGTAATAATAATGGTAATAATAATAGTAAGAATAATTGTAATAATAATTGTAATAATATTTTTAACAATAATAGTAATAATAATAATAATAATTATATTAGTAATAATAATCGTAATAATAACAGTAATAATAACAGTAATAATTAATGTAATAATAATAATATTAATAATAATAGCAATAATAATTGTTACAATAAAAGTAATAATAAGAGCAATAATACCAGTAATAATAATTGTAATATTAATATTAATAATAATAGTGATAATAATTTTAATTATAATTGTAATAATAATAGTAATAGTAACGCTAATTATAATCATAATAATAGTTGTACTAATTATAGTAATAATCATAGTAATATTACTGGTAATAATAATTGTAATAATAATAGTAATATTAATAATAAGAATAATAATAACATTAGTGATAATTATAGTAATAATAGTAGTGATAATAATAGTAATAATAGTAGTGATGATAATAGTAATAATAGTAGTGATAATATTATTAATAGTAATTGTAATAATAATAGTAATTGTACCACTATTAATAATTGCAACAATAATATTAATTGTAATAGTAATAATAATTGTAATAATAATAATAATAAACATATTAATAATAATTGTAATAATAATATTATTAATAATATCAACAATAATTGTAATAATAATTGTAATAATAATAGTAATAATAATAGTAATTGTAATTATATTAATAATAGTAGTAATAATTGTAATAATAATGGTTTTAATATTAGTAATCATATGGGTAATAATAAGAGTACTAATAATTGCAACAATAATAGTAATAATACTTTTGACAATAATCGTATTAATAATAGTAAGACTAATACTAATAATAATAGTAACAATAATATTAATATTTATTATAATAAAAATTGTAATATTAATAGTAATAATAATAGTAATTATAATTGTTATAATTCTATAAATAATAATAATAAAAATACTAGGAATAATTATTGTAATAGTAATAGTATTAATAATAGTAGTAGTAATAGTAATAATAATAGTAATAATACTTGTAATAATATTAGTAATAATAATGGAATTACTAGAATAAGTATAATAGTGATTACATTGGTAATAATAATTGTAATAGTAATAGTAATAATACTAGTAATAGTAATTATAATAATAGTAGTAATAATAATAGTAATAATAATTGCAATAGTAATTTTTTTTTGATGGTCTAAGAATGCCAAACTTTTCGCACTAACCCAGGGTCCCAGCTCGCCAGAAGGACCCTTTACCGTTCGGGTCCCTCTTAAAGTCCCTGGAGTGTCGGGGTCACCGTTGGAATAGGCACTACCGACTAAACTCAAATCCTTTCTAGTGGGATGGTAAAACTATCCCTGCCCCGCCATGGGGCATTACTTCAGGATGGCGCCACTGCTTCTTGCCCCTTAACCGGTCTCCCTCTTCGGCCCTACGTGGCAGGAACCAGGAGCAACGTTGTTGGCTCTTCCATGGGCCACCCATGTCCTTCTTCTTCTTGCTTAAGATTGACCTGACGTACCAGCCCAACTTGTTCCACTCCTTCTGCCCACGCAGCATTTTCTCGACGACGTTGTCAGGCGAGATGTCTCCGAGGACTTTTTCCAAGACTATTCGCTCGGCGCTCCACCGAGTACATAAAAAAAAACCGTGTGGTGGGCGTCGTCGTTGATCGAGTCCCCATAGGGGCAGTTGGCGTCTGCTACCTTCCTCATTCTAGCCAGGTAGGAGCGGAACAGGCCATGCCCTGTGAGGTATTGGGTGAGGTAGAAATCGACTTCTCCCGCTTCCCGATTTAACCAGTTGTCTAGTTGACTGATGAGTCGAGCAGTCCATCTGTCCCTACGGTCCAGCTCCCATCTACTTTACCAGGCCTTGATGCTGATAGACCTGGCAAGCCTTGAAGCCTTCTCCTTTCCCATGACACACTTTTGCTGGTGGACGAATTTCCTCTCCTAGGCTAATAGATCGATCGGGATTACCCCGGCGACAACTAGCACTGCCAGCTCTGAGACCGTGCAGTAAGAGCACGCGATTCGGAGGGTGCCCCTCCTCTGTACCACGGCTATGCGCTTGCGGAATTACTGTTTTCGCAGCGCCTCGGCCTATACTTCCGCACCGTACAGCATCACTGCTTCGACGGCACGCATCAGTAGTCTCCTCATGCACGGCCGGGGAACGTTGACATTGGCCATGAGCATGCCCAGTTGGGCTACTACTTTTGCCGCCTTGTCGGCTGCCCTGATAATATGCTCTCCATAGTTAAGCTTGTTGTCAAGCATAACCCCGAGATATTTGACAGCCGACTTAGTCTAGACCGCCACGTCTCCTACTATGAAGCTGCGCAAGGTGTTGATGCGCTTCCTCGCAATTAACACGATCTCTGTCTTCTGGGCTGCTACAGATACCCCGTGGTCTTCCATCCAGGAGGTAACTCTCCGCATGACCTTGTTGAGCAGGAACTGTGCCCCCTCCGTGTTTCTTGCGGTTATGACAACTGCAATGACGTCAGCGTTCCCAACCAAGAAAGTACCTTCTGGGACTGCCATACGAAAGATACCGTCGTAGAATATATTCCATATATCCGGTCCCAGTTTGGAGCCCTGGGCTGACCCTGATGTCAATTCGAAGCTTCTTGGACCATCACTCGTGTCGTATACTAGGAAGCGCGGTTTAGATAATCGTCAATAATTCGTAGTAGGTACTTCGGAACGCTGAAATTACGTTCGAGCGTTTCCATTGCCGGGTCCCCTGACGGAGTTGAAGGCATTTCTCACGTCTAAGGTGGCCAGCAGGCACAGAGGTCGAGTTCGATTATTGCCTCGCTTGATCATTTTAGCGGCCGTGACCACCTCCTGGACTGCGTGGATGGTGGAGAGGCCGGATCGGAATCCGTACTGGCGGCCGGCATGATCCCCCGCAGCCTTCACGGCTGCGTGCAGCCTTGGCATTAGCAGCTTCTCCAGGAGTTTCCAGCCGTATCGAGCATACAAATAGGCCTGTATGATGAAGCTGCCCCTATTGGACCTTTGCCCTTGGTAATGAGCACAAGCACTTCTTCCATAGAGCGGGGAAGATGCCACCACTGAGGCACGTATTATACATGTTCAGCAATAGCTCAGGGTGAGTTTGCGCGACGACTTTAATTATTTCTGCTGGAAGTCCGTCTGGACCTGGAGCTTTCTTGTTCCGTATAGAAGATGCGGCCCTTAGTAGCTCTTCTTCCGTGAATTGCGGTACCTCGGTTATTCCAGGTGTATCCAAGCTGATCTCTCTCTTCGGCTGTAGGGGGAATAGAGTATGCACGATGTGATACAACGTCCTCGCGTCCTGAGGCGTCCCTTGCGGGTTAGTCCGCAGCATGCGAGTGACGATGAAGTTCCCTATTCCCCAAGGATTCTGGTCGACATTCAGGCACAGCTCCTTCCAGCACCGTCGTTGACTGGCCTTGATGGTCCTCTTCAGGGTTTTCTTGGCCGCTTGATAGTCTGCGGCCAAAGGTGCAGCGTCGTGGTCGCGTCTCTTCGCTCGTTGTGCTAAACGGCGTAGCCTTAAGCACTTTTTACGAAGATCAGCCATCTCGTTCGTCTACCAGTATACAGGGCGTCTCTGCCGTTTCGTGCCATTCTTTGGCAACGCTATCGCGCAAACCATTTGGATGAGCTGCATGGTTGCTGCGCTCGTCAACTTGGCTTGTGCGGGTGGCGATAGACACGCGGAAGTACTTTGTTAGGATCTCCATCCTTCCTCTATGACCGAAGACAGCCTCTCTCGTACCATTCTTGCAATGTTCCACCGGGGGGATCGCTTTACACTTGTCACGGCTGGCCTCCTATCATGTACATCGAATAGGATGTACTGATGATCGCTCCCGGTATAATCTGCGATCACCTGCCAGCCTGCGACTCTTGTCATAAGGTATTCGTTGGCTAGAGAGACATCCGGGATCGTCTCTCTGTAGTCAGGCCTGCGGAAGGTTGACGTCGAACTTGTGTTGAGTACTGATAGCACCAGGCTCGACGCCACCTCCATGATACGTCTTCCTCTGTAATCCGGCCTGGCCTCCCCCCATTCGAGTGCTTTGGCATTGAGGTCTCCAGCCACAATGAGATCCCCATGAATTTCCCGCAGCTCGTCTTCCAGATCGTCCAGTTTGATCTGGAAGTAGTCTATCCGGTCGTTCGGCGTGAGATATACACTGACATAAGTCGTCGAATTATGTCTCACCCAAACGTAACCGCGTGCGGATCCTTGGTCCGACACATGTATTATTCGGGGATCTTGGATCCAGATGGCCGCGGTGCCCAATTCGTCTGCGTACCATCCTTCTCCTGCTCTGTCCTGGTACTGTTCGCTGATTAGAAAAATATCAGCTTTTTTCTTAGAGCAAAGCTGGGCTAAAAGGTGATGCGCCGTTCTGCTCCTATTCAGGTTACCCTGAAGGACTCTCATCCATTTCTTTTCTGCTTCTTTGCTATTGCAAGGTCCTCCTGGAAAGCTTTGCAGGCCCTTGATCCCGCTAGGTGCTTTCTAGTTTCAACACCGCACTTTGAGATCAAGAAGCAAGTAGGCTCGCTGACCTTGCACTCTTTGATCTTGTGCCCCGTGCTGCCACAATAATAGCAAACTTTACTGCGATCTGGTCCCTTGCACGAGGCACAATTGTGACCATAGTCGAGACAGCTAATGCATCGCCTCACTTTTGCCCTTCGCCTGACTCTGCAGCTGACGAAACCGACCAGCTCTCGGCCGGCCTTTAAAAGTTTCGCAGCTGCTTCCTCTTCTATTTTGACAAGGGCCAGGCGTTGTTTTCTTGCGTTGGGGTTTGTCAGCTTAATTTCGATTTTCCCCGCGTAGCTTGGCAGGGTCCTCTTTAGGGCCTCCTCGACTTCTACCAACGATGTGCAGGAAACGCGGTCACGTTTCTCCAGCGTTGCTCTAGGGACCAGTTCCGCGATGCTGCTCGTTTCTCCTACTTCTTTCCTCAGGGTTTCTCCGAATAAGGCCTTGATATCCGCAGTGGTCTTCTTGAGTTCGAGAAGAACCTCTCCTGTTCTGATCTCCCGGACAGATCTAACGTATTCCCCTGCAGCGCTGGTGGATGACTTTGACTACGTCTGCGTAAGATTTTCCTTGCGCAGGTTTCAGGAAGATTGCGTCCGGCCTAGTTCTCTTTCTCGACCTATCCTCCGATTTGCTCGGCTTCTTCTTCTCCTGATGTAGATGTTTCGTCTCCTTCATCACTGGTTTCTCCTTATTTCATTTCCTCTTAACGACTTCCGTCCACTTGGTGGATTCCATCGTCGTCGCCTCTTGCCTCGGTCTTTTGAGGGTTTCTTCAGACAACTGCGGCGGGCTTGAGGCTTCTCTCTTAACTGCGCCGGCCTCAGTCGTAGAATTTGCCCGAGGGTTCTGTGAAACTCGGGTGAGTATCCTCTATCCCTTATCGCCCTTTTCTCGAGATTTGTACATGAACTCGAGACTGTCTATATCTTCCAGTTCTGGGCTCCCTTGCTTAATCTCCTTGTTTACGTTTGGCTGTCTAGTAATAGCCAGCTTCATTTTGGCAATGAGTAATTTCGCTTGCGCGAGTTTCCCTCTCTCTCTATTTTGTGGTGTCCCTTTCGCAGGCTGAGAGCCTACGTTTTTGTCGCCTTCAGTAGCAATGTTATTTCCTGATGGTTCTGGGGTGTTTTGTTGTTTATTTCCTTTTTCGTTTTGTGTGTTTAGTCTTTTTTTTGTGCATTGTTTTTCCATGTGTTCAAAATTCATCCTTCAGAGTGCTGGCCGTCTCCGAACGCGGTGTCTCCTGTAGTGGGGGTGATCACCCTCGCAACTACCCCCATTGTTGCGAGAGCTTTTAGCTATAAGGTCGGGAATGAAGCATCCGCCCTTGTCTTTCACCTACTTCCTTCATCGGCTTCCTTACACTCCCGTGGGTGCGACTCGTTGACACCGGGAGTTTTCCACGAGAACCGTACTTTACGTATCATACCGCACATCCCTTTCTGGCAGCGTCAGCGTACCCGCTAGTCCTTGTGGCCCTGCCGTAACCCTTGCTTGAGGCCCTTACAGGGTGCTGTCATCCGGGCCAGAGGAGCCCTGGTTTTTTTTTTGAGGGGTTGTGCTCCTCGTATCACGGGGACCGACAGCGCTACTCGTCGGTAGAAGAGAAATGCTCCTCTTCTCCCCTTGCTGGATTATTATTATTAGGTGGAATTGGCCGAATTCCGTCCATACAGCCATGATCGCAACCGCGTTCCAAAAATTGAAGCATAGGATATATAAATTCCACAGTTGACTGTCGCTTGATTTTACTTTATTTTCCTTCTGATCGAAGCGCCTCCTATGCCCTGCAAATGAGTTTATCGTCTTTCTCTGTAGTGGAATTAAGTGTCGCTTGTGCTGGTGGCGGCTCTGCCGTCGTAGTCACTAGTAGATGGCTCTGCATGAGTTCTTGGTGGGCCGTCGATTCTGCCGCCCGGCCATGTAATATAGTTCGCGCAACTAACATGTCCTTAAGTTGGCAGTCCTGTCCAATATCCGAGGTGGTGTCTAATACCTCGTAGTTCTTCATCGACTCTATCCGCCAATCCTAGAGGCCGGCTCATCTTTAACCGTAGTAGTAGTTGTCACGTGTGCTGAAGGTGGCGTTGCCATCGTACCTTGGGGTAGATCACGCTGAATGAGATCCCGATGAGAGGTCGAATCTGCCGTCCATTCGTAAAATATAGTTCCCGCAACTAACACGTAATGGCCACCAAATCCACGACAATCCAACCGAGCACATTTTCACAAACAGCACATGAGATGATCCATTCCTTGACCGGATTCTAAACTCCCTATTCTCGTCGATTAGCAATCCACACGCGAGATATGAAACTTACAGTCGATGGAAGAGAATAAACTATGAAAAACCGCACGAAATGCGGAGCGTATGACGATACGTCGCTTCCGTATCTACACCATAATGGAACTCAATAATATTAATATTATTAGTAATAATGATAGTAATAATAATAATAATAATAATAATAATAATAATAATAATAATAATAATAATAATAATAATAATAATAATAATAATTGTAATAATAATTGTGAGTATTATAGTAATAACAATAGTAATAATAATAATAATAATATTTGTTATAATAATTGTTACAATAAAAGTAATAATAATAGTAGTCATAATAATATTAATAATAGAAAAATAACAGCAATAATAATATTGATAATATTAGTAATAATAACTGTAATAATAAACGTAATAATGAAAGTAATAATAGCAGTAATAATATAACTAAAAATAATATTAATAGTGATTGTAATAATAATAGTTATTATATTTGCGTGTTAACAGTTATAATAATAATAATAATAATAATAATAGTTATAATAATAGTAATAATAATAGTAGTCGTAGTAGTAATAATAATAGTGATAATAATAGTAATAATAATTGTAATAATAATAGTAATAATAGTATTAATAGTAATATTTATAATAATAGTAATATTAATAGTAATAGTAATAGTAATAATAATGATAATATTAGTAATAATAATTGTAATAATAATAGAAATAATATTACTTATAATAATTGTAATAATAGGTGTATTAATAATAGTAATAATGATTGTAATAATAATTGGAATAATAAATGTAATAATAATAGTAATAATACTTGTAATAATAATATTAATATTAATAGTAATAATAATAGTGATAATAATAGTAACTTTAATGGTAATATTAATAGTAATAATAATTTTTCTAATTATTGTAGTAATTATTGTAATAATAATAGTAATAATAAAAGTAATAATAGTAGTGATAATAAAAGTAATAATAAAAGTGATATTTTCAGTAATAGAAATTTTAATAACATTAGTAATAATAATTGTAATGATGGTAGTAATAATAATATAAATAACAATTTTAATAATAATTGTAGTAATAATAGTAATCATAATAGTATTAATAACAGCAATAATAATTGTAATAATAAAAGTAGTAATAATGCTTATAATAATTGTAATATTAATTGCAATAATAATAGTAATAATAATTGTAATGGTCATTGTAAATAATAGAAATATTAATAGAAATAATAAATGTAGTAGTAATGGAAATAAAAATTGTATTAATAACAGTAATTGTAATTACAATAACAATAGTAATAAAAATTGTAAAAAGGATTGTAGTAATAATAGTCATAATAATTTTAATAATATTAGTGATAATAATAGTAATAGTAATAGCGATAACATTAGTCATAATAATTGTAATAATAATAGTAATAGTAATAGTAATAATAATTTTAATAATAACAGTAATTATAATACTAATAAGTATAGTCTTAATAATAGTCATATTAATAGTAATAGACATTTCAATTATAATAGTAATAATAATAATAATATAATTAGTAATAAAAATAGTAATAATAATAATTATATTAATAGTAATAATAATCGTAGTAGCTAAAATAATAGTAATAACAATAGTAATAATAACAGTAATAATTATGATAATATAAATGGTATTAGTAATGGTAATAATAATAGTAATAATAATGGGAATACTATTTGTAATAATATTTGTAATAATAACAGTGATAATAATTGTAATGATAATAGTAATCATTATAATAATAACAATAGTAATGATAATACGAATAATTATAGTAATAGTATTTGAAATAATAATATTAATAATAAAAGTAATAATAATAATTTTAATAATAGTAATAAAAATTGTAATAATAATAGTAATAATTATTGAAATAATAATTGTAATAATAATAGTAATAATAATTGTAATAATATTTGTGATAATAATAGTAATTATAATAGTGATAATTATAGTAATTTATTAGTAATAATAATAGTAATAACAATTGTAATGAAAATCGTAGTAATAATAGTAATAATAATAGTAATAATAGCAGTAATAATAATTGTAATAATATTTGTAATAATAATAGTAATAATAATAGTTATAATAATAGTAGCATTAATTGTAATAATAAATTTAATAATGCCAGTAATAATAATAGTAATAGTAATAGTAATAATAATAGTAATAGAAATGGTAATAGTAGTAGTAATAGTAATAGTTATAATAATAGTAATAATAATTGTAATAATAATAGTAACTATAATAGTAATAATATGTTTAATAATAATAGTAATAATTATAGTAATGCTTATAATAATAATAATATTAATAATAAAAGTAACAATAAAAGTAATATAAATAGTAATAATATTTGTACTAATAGTAGTTATAATAATTTTAATATTAATTGTAATAATAATAGTAATAATTATTGTATTAATAGTAGTGACAATAATAGTAATAATAATAGTGATAATTATAGTAATAATATTGGTTATAATAATAGTAATAATAATTTTAATAACAATTTAATAATTATATTTTTTTTTATGTTCTGAGAATGCCAAACTTTACGCACTAACTCGGGGATCCTGCCCGCCAGTGGGATCCTTCACCATTTGTGTCCTTCTTAAATTCCTTGTAGTTTCGGGCTCACCGTTGGAATAGGCAATACCGACTAAACCCATATCCTTCCTAGTGGCATAGTAAAATCTTCCCGCCACCTCCATGTGTGATTACTTCTGGATAGCACCACTGCTTCTTGTTCCATACCTTGGAATCACTCTTCGACTCTACGTGGCAATGTTGGTGGCTCTTGTATGGGCTACACATCTCCTTCTTCTTCTTGCTTAAGATTGACTTGACGTACCAGGCGACCTTGCTCCACTCCTTCTGCCCTCGCAACATTTTCTCGACGAAGTTGTCCGGTGAGATGTCTCCGAGGCCTTGTTCCAAGGCACTGTTCCTACTTAAAAAAGCGTGTGGTGAGTGTCGTTGTTGATCGAGACCCCACACGGTCAATTGGCGTCTGCTACCTTCCTCATTCTAGCCAGGTAGGAGCGGAACAGGTAATGCCCAGTCAGGAAATCGGTGAGGTAGAAATCGACTTCTCCACTCTCCCGATTTATCCAGTTGTCTAGCTGACCGCTGAGTAGGTCAGTCCATTTGCCCCTACGTTCCTGCTCCCATCTACTTTGCCAGGCCATTTTGCTGTTAGACCCGGCAAACCTTGATGCCTCCTCCTTTCCCAGGATAATAATAATAGTTACAATAACAGTCATAATTATTGTAAAAATAATAGTAATAATAATACTGATGTTTATAGTAACAGTAAATGTAATAATAATAGTAATAATAATAGTAATAATTACAGTAATAATAATTGTGATAATAATAGTAATAATGATAGTTATAATATTTGACAAAGTAATACTAATAATAATAGTAATAATATCAGTAATAATAATAATAATAATAATTGTATAATAATAGCATTAATAATAGTAATACTAATTGTCATAGTAATAATAATATTAACAGTATTAATAATAGTGATAATAATAATAATAATAATATTAATTGCAAAAATAATTTTATTAATAATAATAATAATAATAATAATAATAATAATAGTAATGATAATTTTTATATTAATATTAATATTAATAGCAAGAGTAATAGTAATAATAATTGTAATTATAATAGTAATATCAATTATAATAATAATAGTAATAATAATATTAATAACAATTTTAATAGTAATAGTAATAATAACATTAATATTAACACTAATAATAATGCTTATAATAATATTAATAATAATACTAATAGCAATAGTGATTATAACAGTAATAATAAGAGTAATAATA